TGAGGGTTGGTTTTCACGTCGGGTTAGCGTTCTCCCTAACGCGGTCCAAACCGATCTTGCGTGATTGGATATAAGGTGTATTGATTGTATTTGTTTTGTCTTTAGAAAATTGTAAAGGGACTAACATTAGTTCGTTGGTTTCACGCTTGGTTGAGACTGTCCTAGCCGACCGACGTCTGTTAGTACTTAGAAGATCAACACCCTAAGGAACGAACAACGTTCGGGTTCAGACGACGTTTTAACCACGCGTGCCTATACTGCAGTGAACGAGCAAGCACCCTCGACTGATCCACCTCTGCGACTGCATGTAAAAACTTTCGCATGTGAGTCAGCAACTCGGTAGGGATACACCCCTAAAGGTGGTGACAACCCCTTAGGGAAGATAAATTGTGCCCCGAGGGAACCTATCTTGTTGTAGGGGACCATGGGAAGTATGGCTGGCGCACCCAGCTAGAGGGACGAAGGGACGACCCGACCGCAGTCGTCTCGACAACTCACGAGGTTATTATGCATCGTCCACAAGTTGCCTTTATCTGTTTTGTTTTGTTTAACTCCTCCGTGATATGGCAGAGAGGGTTGTCGCCTTTTGGTGAAAAAGGCGGGAACCGATGTGCTCGACATCGGCCTCAATTTAATTGTCGCTGGTGTCGGCAAGGAGACTCGTGTTCCTCATGGAGGCTGGTCCTAGGGTACGAAGGATCGGCTCTGTTCCCATATCTCTCCCGCAGTGTGGACGCCCTACTAGCGAGCTTCCGAACCAAGGTTCCCCTCACCTCGCCCCAATTGGACGATGACGCTCCCATCCAACCTCACGGACTTGACGAATCCGACTCGGAGGCTTAGACACTCCTTATCTCTTGGGTTTTTGCGATAGAGTTGGCGTGAATCTGATGCAAGAGAAGCGGTAGGCTCCGCGTTTTCCCATTTTCTTTCATGTTGTCTAGCGGCAGCAACGTCATGCACGTTCACCGGACCCTCGACGAAGCGGAATTTCGGTTATACCCCGCATGTCCGTCTTGTCTTCCCCTCGAAGTCTGTAGTGTTTCCGTTTAGTCCTCTCTGTCGGCCTTAATTTTTAGAACAACCTTGGCATGAAGCGAGAATCCCCCGTTCCGTCCAGGTGATTCAACCCTTGCCTAACATCCTCAGCCACGCCCCTAATTACTCTGATCGGGCGCCTCTTCGTATGAAACACCGTCCGGGGTGTGAGGCTGCGCATCACAAACTGTGATGCCAACCACAATTGAACCCAGGGCGAATACCTAGAGAGCGTTCCGTTAGACAAAGATACCCGTAACCATGGACAAGGAGGATAAACAACAACACTGTGTACCACTCAGTTCAATGTGATCCAATTTTGAATCGTCAACCTCTTCCGTATAATTTTCAACTCAACCTGCTGAGCTACAGTGAGAACCAGTCTGGTTGATGTGCTGTACGGGACAGGGAAACAACTGCACAATTATCATAACAACCACGGACCAAGAAAGGCAAGCGAACCAATCATAGTCAAGACCCAACATACAACACCATGGACGAACCCTTGGGTGGTGCGCAGGCAGTGTCTGTAATAGCTTACTTGTGTCAGCCGAAGGGGTATGCAAGTACCAATCGTAGTCTAGACCCAACGTACAACACCATGGACGAACCCTTGGGTAGTGCGTAGGCAGTGTCTGTAATAGCTTACCTCTGTCAACCAATCCTCGGCTCAAACCTACTGAGCTACAATGACAACTAGTCTGGTTGATGCGCTATACAAGACAGGGAAACAATTGCACAATTATCAGAACAACCATGGACCAAGAACGGCAAGCGAACCAATCATAGTCTAGACCCAACATACAACACCATGGACGAACCCTTGGTTCTGAGCAGGTAGTGTCTGTAATAGCTCACTTGTGTCAGCCCAATGGGGTATGCAAGTAACCGTGTGTTACGTAAACGTCCGCCGGTGCCAGTGTCTCTGCACAGAGCTGCGGAGTTTTGAACCCGGAACCTCAGACCACAATGCGCATTGGCAATTGGTGCCCTAACCACTGAGCCAGAGGCCATATTCTCTATTTTGCATAGCAAATGAAGTACTCAAGGGGCTTGCTATTGACCCGCAAAAAAAGCAAGCTCAATACCAAAGTGGTGTACTTGATTTTCTTTCGGGAAAATTTCTGAAATGCCCCTCTGACTTCCATTATTTGCGGTATGCCACTCCGACGGCCTACTTACCCTATCGTGCCCCTGGGGCCTCTGAAGTTTCCAGCATGACCCTGTGGCCATTCGTGGCACTTGCAGCCGTTCCCCTCGCCCTGGGAGGGGAGCTTTCGTGGCACTCGCAGTTGTTCCCCTGGGCCTAGGAGGGGAGCCACCGGGGCATACTGGAAATTTGGAACCGGTACCGGCAAGAGCATATTGAACATATTTCAGCCCCAACAACGCCAGGGGGTTTCCGGACACTTCAATCATTGTCAGAGGGGCGCGATAGGGTATGTCACCCGTTGGAGGGGCATAACGGAAATAAATGGAAGTCAGAGGGGCATTTCAAAAAATTTCCCTTTTCCTTTTTGTGTTCGACGGCTGCCAATTATGCGAGGTGAGAGAAAATTACATGACTGTCCCCCGATGAGGAGAAGGCAACTTATTTATTTATTATTTATTATTATTATTATTACTTTTAAGTCCATGGTGTTGTAGAGGCCAGTCACTGAGTACACAGTGATCACCTGGAGCAGTAGGCCGCGTTTATGAAAAAAAAAAAAAAAAAAAAAGGAGACTTGCTATTTCTCTTTTGGGGGAGTCCGATTGCGTTCGTGCAGCTGCGATCAGTGCTGCGCAGTGCCAGAACCTAGGGTTGTGGTGGCGGGGGCGATGGGGGAGAAGAGGCGCGTGGGCGCAGGGTGGGGACCGCCTTGAGGAAGCACTGAAATGCTTCTGCCATATCCTGATCCCGACCGGTGTATGCTGGCATTCCAGGAGAGACTACAGGAGGAAGGAGGAGATGCGTGGTGGTCCGAAGGGTGGGATCTGGGTGCTGTACATACCAATATGTGAAACCTGTCAGGGACTTAATCCCCTGGCTTTGATACGGAGTCAGAAGCTGAAGATTCATGGGGAGATGAGAGACGCGCGTGCATCGACGAGCGCCGACTCTCCGGAGAGTGACACTAGAGCTTAGCTGTGACCGATATTGCCCATCGTCGTTGACAACAAGCTTTAAGCTGCGATAGGCATCGCTTTGCATTGCTGATGTTCCTACTTCCGATGTGGTGTACCTTGTGAACTCTTCATCCTTGCTTGATTCTTTTCGCTTGTATAGTTTACGAGGGTTAATTAGTCCACGTTGATGTGTGTAGTGGGTATTTGGTTGTCGTTTTTTTGCCTGTGAGCCAGTTAGGGGTCACTCGTTCGTTGATTGTTTAGTTGTTATTGGGTGGAATTCTGTTGGTTTTTTTCAGCGGTTAGGATTGGATCTTTAGATTTGTTGGTTGCACTTTCGTTTTGATGGTTTAAGTTGGTTTGTGCTTTAGGGTTAGCAACGTTAATTAGTGTTAATTAGGGCGTGATGTTAATTAGAGTTAATTAGGGTGTGACATTGCAGGCTGACGGGTGCTCCGCGGTGGGGTTAATCCAGGCCGGAGAGTCTGGTTCATCCCTGCAGGCCGTGGTATTGATATGAGGGACGCTGGGCCCCTTTCCCAGCCCGTGATGACATAATGTACTCCTTTTTTGTAAAAAAACAAAAAGCAAAAAATAAATAAAAAAAATTGAAACACAACTTTGAAATATTCAAACATCTTTTTTTTTTATAAAGAAAACAACTTTCAATTAAATCCGGGAAGGGGGCCCGACGTCCCTCACATGAATACTGCAGTCAAATGGGGCTGAGAGAGGTACTCCCGACCAGTCCCATCCCCAACCACAGCCCAACAGCTTGATTTTGCTGCGCTCGGATTTCGACGCAGCAACGGCTGGAGGATGTCCCACAGACGTCCCACAGGTGTTGCCGTGGGACACTTTACCTTACTCCTTAGGTAGTGGGACTGTGCCCCTCCATATTGTTTCTCTTGTGCATGTGGTGAGCAGTGGAGCGAGGCCCTTTGAGTTGGCTTTTCTGGATAAGGCAGGGCCGGCCGAGGAGGGTCTTCGCAGTCCACCTCAGCGGCGGGTGAAATTAAAAGCTGTCCTCTTTTTCTTTTGCCTTTATTTGCTTTATGGCTTGCCATCGCAGAAGCTGTCCTCTCACCTTTTTCTTTTTGTTTTTCTAAACTTTTTCTAACCCACGGATGAGATATCGGCCTTCGGCCCACCGCAGAAAAAAAGATGGACGAACTCAGCCGCAAAGAAAAGTGTGTTCACTGTTCATTTCATTCCGGCAGCCGCACATGTGTGCAATGGGCTATCAACAGACAACATCCGCTGGATGTGCCCCCGCCGGTGGCCGCCCGAATGCCCCTTTCTGAGTTTTTCTGATCCCCGCCGCAGCGTCCACTTTCTTTCTTTCTTTTTTTCTTTCGTTTTTTTTTTTTTTTTTTTTTTTTTGGCAAAAACAGCAACTTCACCGGGGGCCAAGTCCCACTAGCAGCGCTGAGCTACCTCAACGCCTGACTGTGGACGCTTTTGCGGAGATGTGCAGAAATGGTGTTGAGTTTCCTGAACTGCACGTCTCCACAAACACGCCCAGATTCAGGCGTTGAGGTAGCTCAACGCTGCTAAAAAAAAAAATTACATCCCCACAGCGAGTCCAAGTTCCACTCCCTTTTGCATTTTTCCCTTGTTTTTTTTTTTTTTTTTTGTTGGTTGAAAAAGGGCCAGCCAGTGTCGTATGCGCTTTGTTTTTTTTTTTCTCTTTTTGCAATCGTTTTGGATCTGAAGGGCCACATGACTGCGGTTTCTTAAAAAACAAAAATACCGTTAGGAACAAGCAAAATTTTTAATCCCCATTCATTCCCATAACTCTTTCGGACCGAAACTTGGCGGTGTCTGCTGGTCCCGCTGGCTGAGCCGTTGGTTGGGTGCCTGCTCAGGGCTACATAGGCTGTGGCTATGGCGGGAGCTTCCGCTGGCTCGGCGATGGCGCGAAGCACCGCGTTATCGTATGGCCAAGGACTACGCCAACTTCGAACGACTGGTCACGATTTCCCCCCCTCCCTCTCCCCCTCCCTCTCCCCCTCCTCCTCCTCCTCCTCCTCCTGGTCCTCCGCCTCGTTCCCGCCTTCAGGTGGTGAGAAGATGGGGTGTGGCGTTGGGACCTCCAGGTGCATCAAGGCCGCCACGTGGCAGAACGGCCGACTAGTATCGCAGTTCATGCCCTCGTCGTCGTGGCCATATTCAAATCTACGGGAAGGTCCGGCTATGGCGGCCGCTGCCTGTTGCGCCGAGATCGACTTGCTCTTCAAGAGCGGTGCTACGCCATCGCCGACGAACTCTGCTCAGGCACGGGGTTTGTCGTTTTGCGCGCCACGTGTCACGTCAGAATCGAACCCACGTGATCGTTTCGCGTTGCATCATCCTACTCCGTCTGAGTCACGGAAGCTATCGTTGCATCGTGCTTGCCTGTCCCCTTCGCGCTCAAAAGTGCTCGCGAGGGCGACGACGACTAGACAGGAGAACCTCCTCTCTCGGCGAGATCCATCGCTGATTCGCTGCCACGTGTCGAGCTCTCGGCGCGATTCAGCGCAGAATCGCTGCCACGTGCCGACATTTCTCAGAGTGCATTGCACGCCCTCGCGCTGCCAAAGAGGGCTTGCCGTATTCGCGAGCTTGTCTAGTGCCGCTCAGACGATCAACGGAGGAGGGAATGGGAACGGTATAGGAGAGGGAGGTGGTGGAGGTGGAGGAGGGGGCGGGGATGGCGTGTACTCTCAAGCCGACTCTGCCGTTCCCTACCAGGACGCGGACGACAGCGCGGATGACGTCATCATTATTGATGTCGGGGTAAGCAATGGTCGTTTGTATACCCCTTCTTAAACCCCTCCTTTTCCTCCTCCCTCCCCCCGCTGCGGGTCCGCCCCAGGTCTAAAGGCTTTTCTCGGTTTTTTGTTTTTTTTTTAATCTGCTTCTTGTAAAGGGAAAAGGACGGTGGAAGAGGAAAAAAAGGAAGATAGAGGGGTGACAATTAACAGGGATACCCTCAGCAGGTTCTGAGTTCTGAAGTCTGTCCTTGTTTTTCTTGCTCCTTTTTGCTTTCGTTGTTGTTTTTTGTTCCCCACAATTGAAGGTCTCAAGATTGTGGGTTTATCAGTGGAGCTGTGTCCGGTTTGGCCAAGAGGAATGCCAATAATAGATCTTCGTCTTTGTCTTCTTCTTCTTCCTCCTTTCCCCCCCCTCCCCCCTCTCAGGCATCCTCACTTCCTATGTTCCGCTCAAACTCCACAATATACAGTGGATAACCCGCAGCAAGGCAGATTTTGGACCCCCCACACAAAAATAAGGAACACCAAAACAAAACAGAGGGGAAGGAGAAGGACTCTTCACGTTTAATATGTCTGTGTAGGATTCTCAGAGATTAAACGTGCGTGAAGAGTCATTTTCCTCCCCACTTTTTTTTTTTTTTTTTTTTTTTGGGTTGCGGAAACTGCATCCAACAACTGAACAGTAAGGTCACTAAACACTTGCACGTTGAGCTGGAAGTCCGTGTAGGAGCCGTGGTTGTCTACTCTATGAACATGGACGCGTAGCGGTCAGCCTCGCTACTTCAATTCAATTCAATTCAATTCTTCTTCTTCTTCTTCACTAAACGATTTTCTTCTTCTTGTTCTTCTTCTTCTTCTTCAATTCATTTCGATTGAGTTAAATTCTCCCTTCTTCTTCAGAATCTTCTTTCCATCGTGCATCGTAAGTCTCTCTATTGTTGGCCTCGGTCGTTAGAAACACAGGCGTCTAGGCAGTCAGACATACCCTATGTATCTCTTCATCTTTTCAGAGACGAAAGAACGTAATATTGTTGTACGTCAGCGTTCTCTCTCTCTCTCTCTCTCTCTCTCTCTCTCTCTCTCTCTCTCTCTCTCTCTCTCTCTCTCTTTGGTGTTGGCTCATCCTCGGTTGCTGATCAGCGTGGCGCAAAGTTTTTTGTTTTTTGAGGCTCCGATCTATTCGTGGGAGCATCACTTGCTGGAAACCCGGTCCAGCATCCCGTAATTGAACCGATGTCCTGAACTACTTGTCATCAAAAGTTGCGGTGGAAAACAGGACAGCAATAAATGCAAACCCCCCTTAACAAAAAAAAAAAAAAAAAAAAAAAAACCGGGCAGCACTGATCAAGACAGAAGAATGACTGCCTGCTGACTGCCTTTCAAAGTCATATATATATATATGGGATTCTGCAGACTGTTGAGGGTTCAGCCTCCTGATGAGTCGGTGAAACTCCGACGAAACAGTTTGTCACAGCCCCTCGTTTGTTGTCCTCTTCTCTCTCTCTGCCTACGGTTTACCGGGCAGTTCCTGTCTCTTATACACATCTAGATGTGTATAACAGACAGGTCACAGCCCCTCGTTTGTTGTCCTCTTCTCTCTCTCTGCCTACGGTTTACCGGGCAGTTCTGTTTGTGACGATATATATGAGAGCCGCTCTTTTGCTAACTGGCTATCTTCTTATGCTGTCTCAGCCTGTCTGTAGTTCCACCTTAGATGGGGCAGAGTGTAGGGCACAGTTCTTGCTGATGGTCTAAAATACTCCCACTCATTGACCCAGCAGAGGTAGGCGAACAAGAAGAGGGGAAAGGGGGGGATAAGTTATACATAATTACTCCTGGGGACGATAGACAGGTAACATTCCACCCTTGTTACCTGCTTTACCTCATCTTCTAGGCTCTAGCTTCCACCCAAGAAGAAATGAAATCTTAATTCCAGGGGTTGGAAGCATCCCAGTTTCTCTTCCAAAGAGCCCCAGTGTACTAGTGTAGTCCACAGAGGCACCAATGAGACTCAATGTATTTCCAGCGATATAACCTCCTTTTCTACCAATCTGCCTTCGTCATTCCTGATCCCAATTCCTCTGCTTGGATTCTGCAAAACAGAGCAACCACCTGAAACCACAAACTCGTTAGCAAGAGTCAGTGGGCTGGGACAGGGAGGGCGGTGTCACGTGCTTTATCCCCTCCATATCTATTATTGATCATTTTCATGACGAGGAAACAAAAAATTTGGACAGTAGGAGAGCGGGTGCAAGGGAAAGGAAGTGTCCATCGCCCTCCAGTCATTAAACCACCAGTACCTCCCCCACACATCAAACCACAAGTGCCTCGCCCACACATTGGCCGCGGCCCCCTCACAGCGCCAACTTGAAGTGCCGATCGCGGTCCAGTCATTGAACCGCCAGTACCTTGCCCACACATTGAGCCACCAGTACATTGCCCACACATTAAACCACCAATACTTGGCCCAGCTATTGGCCGCGGGAAAAAATAGAGTAGAAACGTTTCTAGTCGGATGAATTTGGACGCTCCTGTAGTAGCCCGTACGTTTCCTAAAATCGTGGCGCATTAACGGGCACCACTCTAGGAAGTACTGGTGGTTTAAACAACCAGTGCCTCGCCCAGACATTGGCCGCACCCCCCCCTCACAGTGGTCTTCGGCCACCGATGGAATGGATCAATGGTGGCCGGGCCCCAAAAGTTGCAGCTGTTAACCAGCTGTATCTCTGAAAAATAGCTGGGAAAGGTACTGGTGGTTTGAAGCTCTGCTTTTTTTTTTTTTTTTTCTGCTTTGAGTCCCTTGGGGATGTATTTTGGCCTTGCTGATCCACCACATTGCATGCCTACTTTCCCTGGCCTCTGCTGCTATCCATCCCCACTTTTCCCCTCCAGCCAGTCCATGCAGCATTCTGTAATTGTGTGGGTACTGTCTGTCAATTCATTGAGGAGATCAGACTTTTCTTTCATTGTGGGCCATTTTGATCCTGACCTTTGTTTGGATCTGTTGCTTAATTAAGCCACCAGTACTTCCTAAAGTCGTGCCCGTAAACAAGCCGCGACTTTCGGAAACGTACGCCGGGCCACTACAGAAGCGCCCAAATTCATCCACTAGAAATGTTTCCACTACAGAACGTAAMCGTGCCCGTAAACAAGCCGCGACTTTAGGAAACGTACGTCGGGCCACTACAAGCCGTGACTTTAGGATCTTTTTTCCCGGCCGATAGCTGGGCCAAGTACTGCTGGTTTAATAGTCTCCATTACTTACCCCCCCTTTGATTCTCACCCCTCACCACTACCCGAGTGCACCTTTGCCACTAGAGTGCTCATAAACAGCCTACCAATGCCACCTCGCTAGACATAACATAGAGGAGACAAAAGTGCTGGACTGAGATGGAGGGCAATATCCACAAAGGATTGCCCTCCAATCCCATGGCCTACTGTAGCTTCCATCTCCCATTCGTCTCCGCATTTTGTCCCACCATCGCCAGGTCAGTACCACCCTCGGGCAATGGAGGAAGATGCCCTCTATTGTTCCGTTGATTCTCCGCATTTTGTCCCACCATCTCCAGGTCAGTACCACCCCCGGGCAATGGAGGAAGATGTGCTCTATTGTTCCGTTGATCTTTTGGGAAGAAAAATCCTTCCCGACAGGCCTTTCGCTACCGTCTTCACCCGAATAGAAGGCCCGGTCATCATCACTGCATCTAGACTTAAAGTTCCACCAAATATTATCACTGCATCTAGACTTAAAGTTCCACCAAATAGAGGTATAATGACCGCCGGGCGTTCTATTCGGGTTAAGACGGTAGGGCATGGCCAGTAGCTTCCATTTCCCATTTGTCCCCAAATGTTGTCCCACCATCTGCAGGTCAGTACCACCCCTGGGGGGCATTGGAGGAAGATGTGCTCTATTGTTTCGTTGATCTTTTGGGAAGGAAGTCCTCCTTCCCGACAGGCCTTTGCTAGGGCAGGGGCTAACCCTTTTTTTTTTTTTTTTTTTTTTTTTTTTTTTTTTTTTTTTTTCGACCAACTCTTTTTGCTGTAGGTGAGTATAGGTTGGCACGCACCTGTGTTCAATCTGCCACTGCAGTGAGATGATTTTGACCGATTTGGCTTTCCTCCCTTTGAGTAGGTCTCTGTCCACGTTCAGACGTTTTACCCACTTATTTCTTCCTCTTCCCCTTAAGTCTATTTTTGGTCTCAGCATGCTGTAAGCAGGATTAACATCCAGATTGAACAGTTACCTTTTTCTTTTTTTTCTTTTTTCTTTTTTTTAACCACCACTACCTTTTCACATGTGGGCCGCCGTCGGGCCCCCAAATCTTGAGGAGGCCAAAAAAACCAGCGATTTTGTTAAAAGGGACATATTTTATTTTTTGAATGAAATTGAAATTTCATTTTTTGGCCCAAGTTTTATGAAACTGAGGGTACGGCGTTCTGAAAACGCGCTATCCCCTGAATGTATCTGGATTTAGCTAAGTCCACATACATCCAGGCCAGAAAAAAACGCCGGACCCCTTGGATGTACGTGGACTTGAGCTAAGTCCAGATACATCAAGGGGGTAGGGCGTTTTCACAACGCCGTACCCTTAACTTCATGAATTTTGGGCCAAAAAAATAGATTTAAAAATTTTGCTCGGAAAATAAAATAATATGTCCATTTTAACCAAATGGCTGTTGAAACGAAATGACGGCCGCCCATGAGATTTATCAACGGCGGCCCATTGTTGGTCCCGGCCTCCCATTTTTTCGGAGTAGGATATTTTCCCGTTTTCCCAACAGCGGGAAAAGGTAGTGGTGCTTTACTCGAGCAAAAGGACTGACTTGGCTTGACCATTGCTAACAGCTGGGGTCCAAGGCCAGATAGTAATGCCGTGGAGTACATGCAGTGGAGTACCAACTGCAAACTCAAACATGTAAAAACGTTTGTGGCGCAGCAACTTCGTCTGGGACCTGACACGTTTCTAGGCAGAAATTTTCCTCCTTTTCCTGATTCTACCAGTATCTGAAGAAGGTCCAAACTACTGGACCAGGTGGCTGTTTGGTCCTCTCAAGTCCAGTACTTCGCTGCACATAACTCAACCGGGACTATGGTTGATCCATTTTGTTTGTGACTGGACCTATAAACTGGATGGCCCCATTGCCCATCCTCATCCCCCTGATCTCCATCTCCCCCTCGCAGTCCTTTTCCTCCTTATCATCCCTGTGTTTCTCCTCTCCCTCGTCTTCTTCGCTGTGTGTGTGTGTGTGTGTGTGTGTGTGTGTGTGTGTGTGTGTGTGTGTGTGTGTGTGTG